CTGCGGCGGGTGGCTGTGGGAAGGGCTCTCCGGAGCAGGGAAAGGAAAGGGGCCAAGGGGCCGTGGCTGGCTGCAGCGACTGAGCCAAATCCTGTTTCCCATGCAGCGTTTCCTGCTCTCCACCCATTGTTTGGAGACGGCCCTGACTCCAGGAGCTGGCGGGAGTTGCCCTGTGCAGGCTGTCTCCCCGGGGAGCAGCGTGCGGCGAAGCTGAGGCCATACACACCTCACGACACCTCAGCCTCCTGCCGCCACGAGCCGCGTGCTGAGGCATGGCCCCACCTGGGCTTCATCTTGTGCCGGGGCCTGACTCACTCCTGCAGTGGCCCATTGTGGGGTCACTGTGCAGGTCGAAAAGGGCTGAGTGTGGACACAGGCAGGGCAACAAAAAGGTGGCCAGCCCTCATGGGAGGGCGACCACTGCCTGCATAGAAACCCCTCCCTCCGTGTTGCAGTGAAGATGTCTGGGAGGCAGTGGAAAGCAGCAGGCAGCCTGGCTTTCCCTGAGCACCTCCCCGTGCACAGGTCTGGCATGGGCATGGCACAGTATGGCCACACGAACCCCCTAGCCCCAGAGGGTCTCACCCTCTTCCAACCACCAGCAGGCTCCAGGCTCTTTGCCTGGCAAACAAAAAGTATTTCCTTCACCCACCAAATCTCACACTGCTTCACAAATCAAACTGTTCCCATGTGAAAGCCAGGGCTGCCAGAGAGCAAGCCTCATGTTTTGGTGTGTCCCAAGCCCACACTGTATCCGGTCAAAAATGTAAAGCACACATGGAGAGGAAAGGGAAATCCATTCATAGCTTCCGACTATTTACATAGCACTCCGAGGCGGCGCGGTGCCCATGGTCTGCTGAGGGAGGGATGGCAGTGAGCAAGGGCTCCCTCAGTGCAGCCACCCAGACACCCCATGGCAGGAGGGATGGGGAGAATCTGAAAAAGATGGACAGTAGGTGCAGCTGTCCCCGTTTGCCTGGAAAATGAAGCACGGTGCTTTGTCATGGGCTGTGCATGGGCAAGGGGCTCTGTTTTTGGGAGACCCTGAGAGCACTTCAGGCACAACCATAATGTAAATGTAGAGAACAAGGCTGTCCCATGTGGGATGTGCAATGGGGTGGGCAGCTGAGGGTGGTTCCTCCTATCATCAGTGCCCTCCAACCCCACATCCACAATTATCTAGTCAACCCCAAGCTCATTTGCAAGCACGTTGGGTCAGGGACTGTCCTGGGTTGCAGTGTGGGGGGTATCCAGGGTATGTATTCTATGATCATCTCCACAAGCTGTTAAAGCAGGTGGGGCACTGATCGTTATCACCCTGTCCTCAGGGCAATCCTGATGGCTCCCTCAGGGGCTGTCTCTGATTAACGGCTGTCAAGGACCCATGCATGGCACACCCTCCCAGTGATCCTCATCGCCTTGTCCCGGGGTGAGGTGACTCACCCCAGGGGTGGGAAGCCAAACATGCTCTCAGGGATATAACTGGGGTTTGGACCAGCACAGGGAGCCCTTTGCCTGCTGGATTCCCAGAGGACAAGAGCTGCTGCTGGACCTTCAGGAGAGAACCAGATCTGCAGGATCAACTGCTCCAACAAACCCATCACTCCAGGAGGACTGCAGCCACCATTTAATCAGACTACTACTACACCCTGACTGACAGGGTGTCAGGTTACTTTCTGACTCTGTCAGGTTATTTTCTGACTCTGTCAGGTTACTTACTGTTGCATTTGTGTTGTTTTGTTGTGTTGTTCATATTAAATTGTACTTCTGACTCAGAGTCTCTCACCGGTTTGCTTTTCAAACCAGCACAGGGACTCACCCACTCACTTAATAAAGGGGATAGATACAGGAATAGATAAATAAATGGTTTGTTTCTTCTCATTCACTGGCTGTAGAGGTCAGTCATTTTCATGCCACCGTGTGCTTACACATGCTGAGCCTGAGGAAGCAACTCCTGTGCTTTCCTGGCAGCTGTGGGGGAGCACAGAATACAGAGCCTGGGTTACAATATGCTCTGTGAAATGTCCTCTGACGTGAGGATCTATTTGGGGACAGGATTATTTACACAGAACACACATGATTATGGGAAGTCTATGTGACCATGGGCCTGCAGTGTGCTCCTCCAGTGATCATGGCACACCTCCTCTGACTGCCTGAGGAGCAGTGCTTTGTCCTTTTGGGGAATGGGAGCCATTTGGGGTCACTCTCCACACCAGGTAATGCCCAGGAGATCTCAGAATCCATTGAGGGGTCTGAGCCAAGCTGATTTGTTCATTTGTGTTTTTTTCTAGGAGCACCTGGATAAGAGCTGTGCTGTCTATCTGTGCAGATCCCTTGGGTTGGAGATAAGGGAGGCAATCTCTCTGGGGAGTTTTGTGGGAACACCCAAACAGGAGCCTACAGCTCCAGTTTGAGCTCCTATATATCCAGAAGGGGAACTAGGGAGATAGGTACAGCTGAGTACAGCCAAATCAGCTCCCCACACTTGCTCTCCCATAACATGAAAAGCTCCAGTGACCCAACCCAGAGCAAACTGAATGCACCTGAATATTTGCTGAATTCACAGACCTCAACTTTTTTTTTCTGAATCACAACAGACTAAAAAAGAAAAGTGACAAAAATACACCACTTTGTTATCATTTGCACAGCACCACATGCCAGAAACATAACACACTAATATGTTTCCTGATAGGAAATGCAAACGCCCTGCCAGTCCATCAACAGACCAGGATGCCTCAGCAACATTTTCTAGCCCCACTTCTCTGGCTGTTTGTTTTGTTTCACGTGCAGGTCCCAGGGAGGCCCCTGCAAGGCTGGGCCAAGGGCTGCTGCCACCAGGCATAGGAGCATCCTAGGAGCTGGGTGGCTGAGCATCCCCAGCCCACCTGGTGGCATTGGCAGGCCAGTTGTGGAGCAGGAGCTGCCTGGCTTCATTGGCATCCAGCACATGCCCACAGGATGAAGGACAGGATGCTGGGAAGCTCTTTCTCTGAGGAAAGGGTGGGACGTGTGGCTGTGGAGGAGCCCTTTGGCAGCTGAGGGGAGAGGGGCCACTCTGTCCCAGCCCCGATGGGTGGAAACTGCAGCTCTGCAGTGTGCTTGTTGGCAGGTGGCTTCCTGTCGCTGAGCAGGAGTGGGACCAGGGGATGCGGAGCGGGGAAGAGGGCTTGGGGCTTCCCCTTGCTGCAGAGGCAAAGCCAGGAGCAAGTGTGGCCAGCACTTTCCTTGCCTGGGCTGTGGCTCTGCCAGCCCTTGCCCACTCACCCACCCCAGCACCCATGGGCATGGGAGCACGTCTCACCCAACCCACTGTGCACCAACAAACACCCACAAGATGCTGCTTTGACATTATTTCCCAGATTTTCACAAACGCCATGGAAGAGTGGACAGGGAACTTGGGTGTTGACAGAGGTGGTGGGGCACTTCCATCCTTTGGGACCTTCATAGCTGGGTGCTGCTCATTGAGCTACTGCCAGGCCCAGAGAGCTGCCAGTTTGCTGCACATTTTGAAACACCTTTCTAAACACCTTTCTGCCTGCATCCCAATAATACTTTTATTTTCCTGCAAGACACTTTCCTGCTGCCTCAGACTCAGCTTCTCTGCCTGAGGCTGGCTCTGTGTCCCTGCCTGGGTGCATGGAGTCAGGGCACAGCAGCCAGCACAGCAACCCGGCCAGGCTCAGGATGCTCTCCCCGCTCATGGCAGCTTGGGGCAGATGCCAGGGGGTGCCCTCTCTGCCTCTGCCCCTCAGCAGCTCCCAGTGTTCTGCTCCCACCCAGGCACCCGCACAGTCCACCAGGCAGATGCTGGCGGTGGTCCCCGGTCACGGATCGCGGGAGGTGGCGAGGCGTGGCGGTTAATGTGTAACCCGCACTGCCCTTTCACCCGCGCCCAGCCCGGAGGCAGCGGG